CTTCCTGTAAGGGGCTTTTTTTTTTTTTTTTTTTTCTTTTCTTCTAGCTGGGGGTGGGGTTCCACATCTGTCAGTCCCCTAAAAGTAAATGAGTTAGTGCTTAATCAATGGATCCTCAGATTTTAACAACTTAAGGCAGGGGTGTTGAAAATAGGCCAGTAGGCTGGATGTGGCTCATAGAGCTGTATCATCTGTCCCACAGGGCTTCTGGAGGAGTTGGGAATTTGGCGTAGAATGAGCGCAGCCAGAGCATGCTGCTGAATTCTGGGTAACAGAGGCTGGTTGGATGCTTTTAGGTGGCATTGGGGTTAGAGACAGCTGTGTTAATTCCTGCAGCTCCCTGAGATGACAAACACTGTTTACCTGGCCACTGGAGGTGGGTTTGAATCTGGCATGTGAGGTTTCCCATGGTTTATATGGTACTTTGCAAAATTATCATGATTAAATATTCTGGATACTATGGCTATATAAATGTTAACGGTATTCTTTCAATCATGAAACCCCAGCATGATTTCTTAATGTTACTTTTTTAGCTATAACTTTTCTTTTGGGAATTTTCAGGGTACCCAAGTATAACAATAATGAAGTTATTGCAGTAACATCAAGTTCCAACAAAATTATGGTTAGTCCTGGGCCAACAATGAAAATGCCTGCTAAAAATGGTGAGTTCAAGGCATTCTAAATGGATAGTGGTAACTTTTTAATTCTGAAGTGAATTAACTACACTGACATTTCATGTCCAGTATTATTTATATACTAAATATGCAGAAAATTATTCCCAAAGGATACCAAATTAGGAGGGTTTGGTGTGAAGTATGTGGACTTACAGGAAATTGTTTGCTTTTTCTGTTTGCCTATCCAACCAGCATCTTCTAAGGGACCAAAAACAGAATCACTGTGACTCCTTTGCTTTCAGTAAAGGTACTATCATGTCCCTTTCATTATGCTCTTTGAGAACCCTGTTTACAATTTAAAGAAGCAAGAACAAAGCCACTGTAAAAACTAGTTGACCAGGCATTATCACTTAAGTTTTTCAGGAGTAGTTGTACAGTATCTTAAAAGGGAAAACAGAGACTTTGTATTGACTTGCACTAAGATCTTTATGCTTTATGAGTTTTCATTTGCAAGCGTTTAGAGTCCAGAAAACTTAAGCACCATTGAAGCAAGTACTTTTCTTTAAAAAAAAAATAGGATTTATGTGCATTTTTAAGCAAGAAATTAGTTCTTGAAAGGAAATATTGCATGGGTTTGGACATAGAACTTGTAGGTGTATCCAATAGATGGAATAAGGCTTTTATTTTTAGATGTCCTAGTAATGTGATTATCTCTTTAGTGATAAAGTGTCATGATGTCGGCATTTGATGATGTTATTCTAGGATATGTGAATAAACAGAAACTGTTTCTCAATTTCTAATACTGCAGTGTGAAACTGAATGATGATAGAAGTTCTGTTTATCCAAGCATGTGAAATTATTACTCGTACCTATTTCAGCTCTTGATTATATGGCTTCTCCCTTGATGCCTACATTCTGCACTCCTGGCTTGAAAATTCCTTCCAAAAGAGATGCTATCGCTTTATCAAAATCCCCAGATAGTAAAGAATCAATTACTTTTAATGATTCATTAGTACCAACACATCCTGGCTTTCAAACTGTCTGGCTAAAAACAGAAACTAAAGTAAGTATTAAATAACACTTTACTAATAATATTTAAGATAATGTGCGTGGTAATATAAACTAACATAACTTTCTTAATGAGTCAGTAATAAGATTCCCTTCCCACGCTGCTTCTATAGGAAGGTGTATCATTGTAGAATTTAACATCTGAACAGAAATTTTTAAGAATACTATTAATCACCTATAACTGCTAGACTAACTTAAGCCATTTTACTACACTTTAATCTTATCATCTTTTGTGCAGCAGTTAAAGCAAAGGAACAAGGCTGAGTCAGTGGGAGAGAATGGTATGACAAATCAACCACCCACAGAAAATTGTGTTCCTTCTATTTTAAGCTCAGACAAGTATCTTGAACATCTTGGAGAACCCTCTCCTCCAAAAATATCAAACTATGAAAGTCTTCCTAACACTCCTCCACCTCCAGAGATAACAGAGATACCAGAAGACATTTTACAGGTTGGGGCTTTGCTTTTTTTTTATTTTATGTGTGTCTGTGCACGACTTTCAAATTTGCAGGGCGTGGTGGCGGCAGAATAACACGAGCATTTTCTACTGCATCAGAGGTATGAGTTCAAGCCCCACTCCAGACTCATGTCATAGGCTGACCTCAGTTAACCAATCAATAAGTGGTTATTGCAGAGGTGGATCCAGCCTGCAAAGGGATTTTGTGTGGTCCAGAGAGCATCCCTCAGCCCTTCTCCACCCAGGCACAGGGGGGCAGCCCAAGCCACGGCACATGCAGTCAGTCCTGGCTCCGGGCACACAGCAGGGCTGGGGCAGCGTGATGGCCAGACTTGCTTCCCAGCATTCTCAGTGGTGATGGCCCCTTCCAGCTGCCACCACTATTGGTTCCAGCTCCGCTGCCTGGGCACCCTAACCCATCTGCCCCACACCGACCGCTAGGGGCAGGGCACACAGCTGGGCAGGGAGTAGCACCTGGGAGCAAGACAGGTGGGCAGGGCTGAGATTGCAGGGCAGTCATAGCATGGGGCCAGGGCCCAGGACAGAGCTGGGTGATCTGGTGCCTGCGCTCCACGGAACTGGTGCCTGTTGCAGGGGCATGCAAAGAGCAGATTACAGCTTTGCCGCGGACCCTGGTTCTACACTATCACCACCCTACGATCCCCGCCTCTGTCTACCCATCCCGCTCCCAGATGCTGTGCTTTACCTACCCACAGCCCCATCCCCCAGCTGAGTGTGCCCTGCCTGCACAGGTCTCTGCCAGTCTGTCTGGAGACCCTGAGATCACAGGGTGGTGACAGAACAAGGCCAGGACCCAGGGCACAGCCGTGATCCACTCCTTGTATGCCCTTGCCTGTGGAGCTGGTGCCCATGTTGGAGACATACGGGGAGCGGATTGCGGCTCTGCCTTGGACCCCAGTCTGTGCTGTCATGGGCCCATGATTTCAGCCCCACCTGCCTTTCCCGCTCCCAGATGCTGCTTCCTCATAACTCGCAGCTCCATCTTAGCTGCCCTGGTGAGCACAGAGCAGAGCCACTTAGAATTTTAGTGAGCTGTTGTGGTTGTAGAAACCACTGTTCCTTTACCTTATGCATTCGATGTGTTCTTGGACTTGGGGAGGACCTTTTGAGCATTTTTATAGCAATTCTTTTATTTGAAAAAAGTATTTTTTTCATCATGTTTCACTCGTCATAAATATTTTGCTGGTCAAAATGAGTCTAACTCTGATCAAGGACTCAAAGCATGATGATAATCTTTAATCCCTCTACTGCTTTATTTTAGATATTATCAAAGTATAATCCAAAAGTAAACGCACCTACAGCCAAAAAAATGGAGACCAAACCAGGAATTACTACAAGATTTGGAAGTAATACCAAAGATTATTGCAACAAAGAGAATAAGTAAGAGTTAATTCCTCAGATGTGCTAAAGCAATCAAATCTGTTTAATGGGGGATGGTATACTTGAAGGGATGCATTAGTTTAGAAATGAATACAGTTGTTTTCAATACAAATACCAGACCTTGGCCAGGTCCCATGGTGGCCATGGCTGTACAGCTGCCACTGCCACAGAGCCCAGTGCAGCTGTATGCAGCCCCCCAGCTGCCTTCGCAGACAGCCCCAGTTTTGGGCAGGTGCAGCAGGCAAGCTGCAAACAGCTGCATGGGGCTCCAACGCCCTGGCACTGGCTCAGTGCCAGTGATGACTGAACACATGCCTTGGAGCATAGAGCAAGGAAGGGCCTGGGACAATGCAACCGCAGCCTCCCGCCCGCACTGTGCACTCAGAGGTGCATGTGCAACCTCTGCCAACAACAAGGGTCAGGCCCCTTGAAGCTTCCTTGTGCTCTGCCTTGGCGCACCAAGTCAAGGTATGGGTCAGAGTTGGAGTGTGTTTTGCACTCTGGCCAAAAACCATTGCTGACCCTGTTCTATACTGACAGCCATGTGTGTATCTAATTTAAATCTGACAAACTAGTGAAATCAGTCTTTGTAAGTAGTAACGAGCCAAATTCCAATCAGTTAGTTTGAATACGAAGGCTAAGGAAATGCAAACAAGTTACCTCAGATGTACCTGTGAGCACCGCCTTATATGGTACTTTGTGCAAGGTGGTTTACCTCTTGCTGAGAGTGAAAATAGTTACCTCTAATTTCCCCTAGGTCAGAGCATGCACACAGGCAGTTCCTGCAGAGTTCCTAGCACACTGTAAATTTGCACCCTAGCTTGCTCTGTAGTAACTTGTTGAAATTTTACCTTGCATATTTTCCTATATGGACACTAACTAGTTCATCTGGAACCCAAGCGTGTTTTAGGAATTCAAACAGATATTTGAAAAGAATCCAGATAAGTTCATTACTGAACTGTCTTAAACACAGATCAGCAGAGACACTTTTCATAATGCCTGACACGTAATTAAATATTCAACACTCAGAGCATCTTGTATTACTTCATGTTACCAAAGAGCAGCTGCAGAATAGTTGTTATAATACTGGACTTGTTTACTGAGTTCATTTCTATCTATGTATTTGGGATGCTTTTTTTCTATGTATTTTCTCTAATGCATACATGCTGTAATATGTAATAATGCAGATGATAATTATAGTTCATTTTGGAGCTGATTGTTCAAACTGACATTAGTTTAGACAGTAGTATTGTGCAGTATTACTTTAATTTTGTTTCTGTTGGTAGAACCTGTTACGTTTAAAAGACTGTTTAATATTACTTGGTTTCCAAAGATGCATCCTTTCTAAATGATGATATGCATGGAAATATAGTTCCCACTTCTTATTAGTGTAAGGAGAGAAGTAAATAGAGGTGGATAAACAACTAATTAAATATGGCTTTATGCCTTTTCTTAATCGGCAAGGAACCTAAGGGTTGGTGTATAAACTTAGTAAATATAATGTTCTTTCTTGACCAAAATAGAAATTAAATGTCAACATTCTTTAGTCTCATTTATTTTTTCTTCTGGGGCTCCTTCCCTTGTCCTTGAACAAAAGCCCTGATGGCTTCCTCGGGTATTATGTTTGATATTGGGTCATGAAATCAAGGACTAGAAATGCCATGTGATTTTTCTTTTTTCTTTCTTAAGTGACTAACCGCACAGCCCAGTTAGATTCTGAATATTCAAAGCCTTTCAGCAAAAAAAAAAAATTAAGGACAAAAAGCTTGAACCTTCTTAAAGAGAAAGTTATTGGTGACCGTAGCGGGTTCTCGTTCAACTTATTTTATTATGACTGGGGCAGCCCTGCCCCACATGACACAGCATCAATGATGAACGAACAAACATACAATCAAACAAAGGGTTAACTCGCAGCTAGACCAGGAGAGAGGACACTGTCTTGGTGCTACCTCCTCCATACCACCCTCTCTTTCTTTTCCCCCAGCTCCGTTCAGTGGGAGCTTTTTAACTTCCTCTGGGCCAGGCATTCATCCCTGTCAGCTGCTTCCCTCCCCCAGCAGACAGGCTAACACTTTAATGGCCTGAGATATGCACCCGGTTACAATGATAAATAATTTGTGCTTCTATTAATATTTCATATAAGCTAATACATTATACATTTATGTATTTTGATGCTTGTTTTGATATTTAATTTGAATTTGTTATATTTTTTTAGGTTTTGAGTAGAAAGACAACATGCTTGCAGAGTTGCCCAACATAACAGTATTCAAAAGGGGCCCTGTATTAGCTGGAGAACAGTGGATAGATATTTTGGCTAATACACTTGAAACTTGGATCTACCTGCATACTGGAATCAAATTGAGCTGTGATTTCTAAATTTGAAGCAAAGGACCTTCAATTTCTCACAGATCATCATTCACCTTAATCCCACATGGTACTCTATTGAAGAAGAGGAGTGGTGGTGAAATCTGTGGACTGTGTTTTGGGAACCATTGTATTTGAGAAAAACTGGCATTTTAATTTAGCCAGCACTTTCTCCTGACAAACAAAGCCCTTGATAATATCTTATTTCCTTAACTGATAAGAATTCTCTTTATTGAAGATGCTATTGAGATATTAAACAAGTGGCCTCTTCAGGATGTATATGCAGGGGATATTATGGGTATTTCCAACCAGATGCTTGAGGGGTGAGCTGAGGAAGGGGGGGGAGGGGTTGGTCCACATTCATAAATTATCTTGCTGAAATTTGCAAGAGTTCAAGAAGGTGAAGGAAAGAAGAACTACAGAAAAGAGACCAGTACAAAGGAAAGAAGCCTCTTGTACGGAGGATTTGGGGAAAGCAATCTTGCTTAATTTTTAGCAGTTGGTACTAAATCTTTGCTTAAAATAAAACATTGTCAAAAATATTATCCATGTTTTTCTGTATTAATGACATTCTTCAAAGAGCTGTTGGATATAAGTCATGTACAGGCATACCTTGTTTTATTGCGCTTCGCTTTATTGCACTTCGCAGATATTGCGTTTTTTACAAATTGAAGGTTTGTGGCAACCCTGCGTTGAGCAAGTCTATCGGCGCTATTTTGGGAAGTTTGGAAGAAGTTGATTCCAACCCTCATGGATGACTTTGAGGGGTTCAAGACTTCAGTGGAGGAAGTAACTGCAGATGTGGTGGACACAGCAAGAGAACTAGAATTAGAAGTGGAGCCTGAAGATTTGACTGAATTGCTACAATCTCATGATAAAACTTTAACGGATGAGGAGTTGCTTCTTATGGATGAGCAAAGAAAGTGGTTTCTTGAGATGGAATCTACTCCTGGTGAAGATGCTGTGAACATTGTTGAAATGACAACAAAGGATTTAGAATATTACATAAACTTA